ATATATATATATATATATTAGTGTATAAAGATGTATAAGAACAGTAGTGAAAATCTTAGTGATACACCATGCATATAGGTGTAGTAGTTGAAGAAGAAGAAGTTGAAGAAGAAGAAATGTGAGAAATCCACCAAATACCTGTAAATAATGTATCAACCTTGTATAAAATAATGTATAAGAGGTGTTTATACACTATTATACATTACTTATACAATATTATAGACTATTATACAAATGAATCCTATTAATGGAGCTTCACGGGTTCTTCTTCTTCTTTGGGCATCTTCTGAAATTCAACTCAAATCTAGCTCAAATCTGCTCCAAATCACTTCAAATTTGAGATTTGAACTCCCCTTGACGATCCCAATCAATTGGGCTAACACCCAATCCAAACAACTAACAAAATCGAAAAATCCAAATTATGAAATTGAAGCTTCGAATGACCTTTAATAGTGACTCCAAAAATAATAATTCTCTTAAGTGGTATTTTTTCTTCTCATCTTAATAATGATTATCAACTTTGAATCTGGAAGGATAATTGAAGAATATGTGCCCGTTTGGATTGACTTATTTTAAGTGCTTTTAAGCCAAAATAGCTTTTAAGCCATTTTGTAGTGTTTGGATAGAGTAAAAAAGTGCTTTTAAGCACTTATTTTTAAACTAAAATGACAAAAACAAGCCAAAAGCCAAAAGCTAGAATTCCTAACTTATGGCTTAAAAGCTATTTTGGCTTAAAAGCCACTTAAATTAAGCCCATTCAATAAAGGTAGAGAGATTTTGCGGTGCAAAGTCGTGAAAGAGGAAGAAGAAGAACGAAGAAAAGAAAAAAAATAATTAAATAGGGTGGGCTAACTGGTGAAAAATAACTTTCAGATTATGTACAACCAGGCCATATCAGGTAAGGGCTTCAAACGTGGGCCATTTTTTGATGGACTGTTAGGCCAAGTGATAAGTAGCGTAATTCCCCCACCTATTCTATAATTGCATATTGTAAATTGACTTTAATATATAATGGTATAATGAAACTTTTCATCTCTAAATTGTACAACATCAAATGACTAGCCACTACTTTCATTATATCCTCGATATTTGTTCTATTCTCACGACACAATGTTAAGTCATTGCACATCCAGAATAACTAGATCCTTAATGGTATTATGAATCTGTCCATTCCCATAAGTATTGACGTTATAAAATGATTAATAACATGGGTTAAGATAATAATTTTATTAATTTCGTGGTTATTTAAGGTTAATCATTAATTTTATAACTACACGATCAATAGTTTCTGCTTGACTCCAACGTTAGTTGTGTACGATACCGACAATTTATGATCGACTATCAAGGATGTTTATTGATTAAGGTTCAGGGTTCAGAGTTCGGTTTATATATAACATAGGAAGTTTATTGCGACTAGTGATAGATAATAGGCATATTTTTAAGATTAATCTTTCCTAAACGCGAATATTCTGTAAATTCGTATACTTTGTAAACTCGTATATCTTGTAATAGACTCTTGTAAATTCGTCATATTGCACCATTTCATGTATCTACTACTATTTGGTTAAGCTCGTTATTTTCACATTGCTCATATATTTTTGCTTACTCGACAAATAGTTGACAATTGACTGAATTGGGAGTTCGCGTTCGTTTTTCCCCATCTCATGTATCTACATCCCATTTGTTTTACAATCGTTATTTTCACATTGTTCATAAATTTTTGTGCACTCGACAAATAGTTGACAATTGACTGAATTGGGAGTCTATAATCATTACAACTCCTATTTGTTTCAAACTCGTTATGTTTACATTGCTCATAAATATTTTTGCCTACTCTACAAATAGTTGATAATCGTCTAAATTGAGAGTCTATAATCAGTGCGTATAAAATGGCATGCGTTTTGCTTTAAGTTTTGTAGATTAAAAACACGAACAATCTATCACGGCCCAAAATCCCAACCTCAAGGATTCTGATGGCACCTAGTTCCTAGGATTAGGCAAGCCTACCATATAGCAAGATCAGCAGAACCAAGCACCAACTTAAATAATAATGCAAGTGGAAAAGTGCTTTAACATAACCAAAAGCTGAAATACAAAGTCACATAAATCCCAAAACTGGTGCTACTGAGTCATAAACTCTACAGAGAGTACACGTGAAATCTCATAAATACAATACTGTTTGAAAATATAATAGACAGTACTAAGAAAATCAACAGAAAGTGACCCCGAGGCTTCCGAGCGGAATGGCAGGCATACCTTAAAGTCTCCACAACAATCTCAAATCAGCACACTAACAACCGACATGCTCATAGGTACCTGGATGTGCACAAAAATATGCAGAAGCATAGTATGCGTACACCACAAACGGTATCCGTTAAGTATCAAGACTAACCTCGGTGGAGTAGTTACGAGGTTCAAGTCAAGACACTCACTAGACATAAAACCTATGCAGAATATCAATATAAAGCTGACAATGGAATGCAATTATAAAAAGGCAACAAGGAGTAAACATGTGATAACACAATAAATTAACCCAAACACAGTTAAAACACAAATGAATCAAATAAGGAAAACAATGAAAGTTCACATCCTCAAGCAGTTCCAACACAAGAATAACATCAAGAATCACCCTGAGGTACCACACCTCATAATCACAAATCGTGAATCAAAAGTCCCCCTTATGTCACCACATGAGCTTCACATTTTAAAAATAATTTTTTCGAAATAGCTTCACGCGCATAAGTCCCCTTATCTCGCCGCGTGCACTTTACAATAAAGTATTTTCCCTTACTAGCAACACACGCATACACTCCCTTATCTCGCCGCATGCGCATTAATATATACACCACCCTTATTCCGCCACATGCACATCTCGATCACAACACAACAATAACAATCACCCTCACTTCATGTACACATGTGTCACAACATCACCATGAATATATACTAATGCCACAACAAGATATATCCCACGACTCAACAACAATATGTACAAGAATCATAACAATAATATAAGGCGGAGAGTGGACAACAAAAATAAAAGCATGTTTCATATAACAAACAACTCCAAATCAAGGCATATTAATAGCCTAAGGTTTAATCCGGTCACAACCAACACATACGTCTGTGTACACACTCATCACCTTATGTGCTCGGTGTTTCACATAGCACAAATATTGCAAATTAGAACAAATCCTAAGAAACATTTTCCCCACATAAAATTAGGCAAGATACTTACCTCAATCAAGCTAAATCAATCCACTAATAGGCCCTTCTCGTGCAAATCAACATTCGGACAGCTCGAATCTAGCCACAATAACTTAATATCATAAATAAAATTCATAGGAAATGATTCC